AAAGCAAATTCTCGTCTGAAATTTTTGTACAGATATCAAAGTTGTATGGATTTAAAAGCAAGACGTACACTCTGTTTTGCTCTTATTCAATGTTTATTTGACTATGCTAACCCTGCATGGTATAGTAACATAAACAAGTCAGATCAAAAGAAGTTGAAGATTATACAGAACAAAATGGTGAGATTTATCAACTGTTCTGGTCCAAGAACTCATGTTGGCTACAGCGAACTTTCTAAAGCTGGTTTTCTTGAAGTCGACCAAAGATCAAAACAACTCGTATTGCATCATGTGCATAAAATATATCATACTAGGTCGAATCATTATATTCGATCCAACTTCGATCTTGTTACTGACGTACATGATTATAATACAAGAAATAGACGATTCAACTTTAACTTACCTGAAAGAGTAGGTAGTATTGGAAATTCGTTTTATTACAATGCCATAAAACATTGGAATTCCCTTCCCAATGGTGTAAAAGAAATAGGAAACTATGATCATTTTAAGAGGAAATTAAAGGAATACCTAATATTTGACAGTCAGAGAAGAGAAGTGAATGACATGTTATATGATTGAAATTTTTGTTCTTCTGTCGGTTCATACTTTTTCATGTTGTATATACTTATGTTTTTGTACGTTATAGAAATTCTACAAATTCATCATTATTTTCCTCTTCTTCCTTCTCCTCTTTTTCTTCTTCTCCTTCTTCTTTTTCTTCTTGTACTTAATATCATTTCTATCATCAGTTTAATGTTGTTATTATTATTATCTTTAATAAGTAGTTCTTTTAATTTTCTTATCTGTCTGTAAATATTACTATTTTAACTTATTAATTTTATACATGTCTGTAAGGGACCCCACTGGAAATAAGCTCTCGAGCTTTCGTGGGTTATCCTGTTCAAGCTGACTTATTTTTTTATCTGTTATTATTGTATATTGTTGTATGTTGGAAGCTTGTCGAATAAAAATCAATCAATCAATCATCCTCAATGTTTTCGGTTTTCATCTTAATCCCTCTGAAATGATAATGCAGATTTTGATCTCTCTATATCCTTTCCCTTCGTTATGAAGCCACATTCACACGCGTATTAGGCTTTTTTCCCTTCTCGATCAGTTTAAAGTTGCTGCTTTTTTAAGTAAAGAAAATATAAAAGCAGCTAGAAAAATGGCAAACACGTTTGAAGATCTTGCTATTCCTAACCATTCAGAGCATTTTCCTGCGTAATTTTGTTGTGATTCATTATTCAATTCCCATGCATGAGGATCATTCCGCGTTTTCCCGCGGTTTAACAGCCATTAGTAACACACCGATGCCTCTTCTGCATTACCACACTTCTTTTCGGCGTCTCATTGTTTGTCAAAAGCAAGAAAGGATTTGTTAGATAATAAACTAAAAAGTGCGTAGGCCCTATAAAATTAGTTTGTTTGGAATTAGGGCAAGGATTTGTTCGCGATTGCGCAGTATAGCAAAGAAAACATGTACAACAAGGTAATTGTCATTGTCACTCTGAGCGATTCTGACTGGGGGCTACACCACCCCACCCCCAACCTCCTTGTACTCTTGTTTAAGTTTACATGTTCTCTTGGTTATCATTATTTAGGACAAGGATTTGTTCGCGATTGCGCAGTATAGCAAAGAGAACATATACAACAAGGTAATTTTCATTGTCACTCTGAGCGATTCTGACTGGGGGCTTCACCACCCCACCCCACCCCCCTTGCCGGCTTGTAACGATCACTTACGTAGTAATCACTTACGTTCTGAGTACTTTCTTAGGTACGATCTATCCAATCAACGAAATACAGGGTTGACATTGACGTTTTTTTACAAGCCGGTAAATCTCGAATATTCTAACTTTTGCGAGTACGCGACGTGACTGTATTCGTACTTAACCCTACATTTTACCACTTGAAAACAAAATACAAGTGCTTGTTATTGAGACTAGCCATGGCGTATTTTGTACTCTTGTTTAAGTTTACATGTTCTCTTGGTTATCATTATTTCCGTTGGTGGGTGGATTCTTAGAAGCGGGAAAGCGACGTTTCAGGCAAGAAGCGTCTTCCAAATTGATTAAAGCTTTCGAATATTATGTTAAGAATGTTAACCTTTTGAAAGATTAATACTTACCCTTTTCAAAATAATTCCACATTCTGTTTTTACTGGTATGTATTTATGTTATCTCTTAATACAAATGGATAATTTATGTACAGACTGATTGAAATATTCATGGCGGGTTTCAAAAGATTAATTTCCAATCAGAATGCAAATCTCTTTGTATATACGTTGTTTTTCAAAAGACTATGATCATTTTCAATGTTTTCGGTTTTCATCCTAATCCCTGTCGCTGAAAAAAAAATCTTATGCATCCTGTCACGTTTCCTATTTTTTTGTTTTCCTCGAATGATTAAGATTTGAATTCGAATTACGTGATGTGAATAATATCAGATGATATCCGATGTCATTATACCTCGCTCATACAGTTGGATCTATAACGTCTCTTCGTGAACATATACTCTTTACTTTTTGTTTTTAATAATTCTTATTCATCTTTTTAAAAAGAGAATATGTTGTTGTTTTAGTGCTGTATTTTCTGTTATGGCTATAGTAGTATTTTAATCCGTTTTAGTTTGCCGATGTTTTTTAACAGGCCTATTTCAAATGAAGATTCAGGCTAGTAATCCCTTAATAAAGAAATGTTAATTCTTGTCAATTCATTTATGTTTCATAAGCCGCATTATTCCATCTGCCATGTTTCTTAATTTTTGTCCATGTCGTAAAGCTAATATTGAGCTCTGGCATGGGAATCGTATTTTCAGAGAAAATTGCTTTGATTTATTCTGAATTGTTTACCCTGCAGTTGATTGGTTGTTTGGACCAGTGAATTAAAAACCATGGTGATAGGGTCCATGTAAAAACGAACGCACAAAATTCTATCATACAAAATGTAATTTTTCATAATAATATCTATAATGTTCTCTCGGTAACTGTGTTAATTTATTATGGGCGCTCCCAACTCAAGCTATGCTTTCCGGGTTTTCGCCTCCTTCCGTATCTGAATTATTTACTGTATACTCTACGTTAAAATAATTGTTACTTATATCATGTATATATACATTGTGTTTCATATTGTACAGTTGAGAAGGAAATAAATGTTAATAAATACAAATACAAAATACAAAAACTTACTGGGAATCATCTATTTGGAAATAAGGCTTATATACTGGATAACAAATCTTCTGTCTCTCTTTTGAGTAATTACTGTAAGTATGCATTGAAATTATGGAAATAAAAACCTCGCTTTAGGATAAGAGAAAAACAAATCTTCTGTTTCTCCTTTGTTATCACGCTTGAAGCTTATCTTGGTATGGGCATCTTTAATGTCGAGAGAACATGGTTGTAATTTATTCTGGATTGTTTACCCTGCAGTAGATTGATTGTTTCTCAGTACCACTAACATAAAAACAAAAACTAGCTGGAAATCATCTTCAATAAAAGCCACAAAAACAACTCTCATTTGCACATAGAGACCTGTGTTAAGCTGATGGTTCCGGGCTTACCAATAATATTACCTGGATTTCCTTATATTTGTACGCTCATTACTCAGCCACTATACATTTTCTATCAATTTTTTTTGCACATATCATCTTTTTGTAATCTTGAACATGCAGTGTAAGTTTCGTGGAATTCTGAGAGAATATTTTTTCTATATTTACCAGAACTCAAGTTTATCGAGATGGCAAAGAACAGCCGCAAAACTTGACTTTCTTTCTCCCAGGAATTAAATCAGTCGTTTACATCGATGAGAATCGAATGTTTGGTTTTTGCCCTCTAGTCATACACTGGGAAGACAGAGTGGTTCAGTCAAACAGCTTTTTATTAAAGCCCCTCTGCACTAGCTTGGTCACTGGCAGGTGGTTATCTCATCAAATCAGCTCTCAATTAACATAAAAAAAAGAGGATCATGGGGGACCAATAGTCATCGCTTAGGCATTGTTTGATATATAGAGGGCGCAAGTAGCTATAATTAGCGCAGTGGGGCTTTAAGATTGGAAGAATGAAACCTGTCGCTCGGATATTCTGAATATTCAGAGATGATTGTATTTTTTTTAATTTTGCATTTATATATTCTTGCCACTTTCACCATTTATTTCTGTATTTATGTAATTACTTACTAACTATTCATGCATTAATATATTTATTTGGAAAAAACAAGATGCGCTTAGTTTGTGAAGTACTGGCAACTGACTTGACTGTGACCCTCCTATTAGAATATCAAATTTCCTTGAAAAAGTTTTACCCAGCCAACTAAATTCAATGATTCCAATAGATCCTATCAATTATTGTTATATTGTTGTTTATAACATTTTATTTTTAGGGGCTAGGGCCGCCCCTACACCGACTACCACACCCACACACACATACATTCGCATCCGGATATGCGTATCCACAATAAATTGTAGATCAATTTGAATTTATTGTAAAACGATAATTCATTAAAGTATGAAATACAAGAAAATAAAAGGAAGACATAGTGAAATACAACCCGTCATCATCTCCGGTAAAAAAAACTATTCAACCACCCCTGTCTGTCTGTCTCTCTCTCTCTCTCTCTCTCTGAATTACACACACATCACTGCCTTCTAATTTGCTACGGGAATTGAAGAAATGATGAAGAGGAACCCCCCCCCCCCCTAACTCAGTGGTGTATAGCTGCAATAAAATACACGATCCTGATTGGTCGAAAGTTTCGAGTTGCCTGTCCATTGTGCACAATTTATAGAAAGACCGGAGGCGATCAGGTCAATGACCTACATCAAGATGAGGCTTTGAAATGACGTAACAATACGCGTTTTGCACATGTCCTTGTCATTGCACGCGCGCAGTCAAGAGCCTATTATGACGTAGCATGCAATACAGGTCGACGAATGGAGGTCGGGTCAAAACAGTGACCTACATTGACCAGGCTAATGCGTTTGCGCATGCCATATAATGCGCGCAAACGCTTTATGACGTATGCATGCTGCTGTAATATTGGACGTGAAAGTTGATGGCCACACACCATGGCGACAAACGAGGATAAAAGGCATATGAAGTGGTTATGATCAGAGAATTACTGGTTTTCAAGGGAATTAAGCGATGTGACTTTTTTTTTTCTCATAGAAATAAGCTAGCAATCTGAAAACGAAGATGAGGTAAGATGATAATATTAATTGATGTTGCTCTTGTTCTTGATATTTAAGATATGAAAGTCAACAAACTTTTTACTCTAGACCTAGGCTTATGTATTGTTATGTTAGTAAAATAGTAGGGGCTTTTTGATAGATATATCAGCCATGCAGATATGACAATCAATGAATGTTGTCACGAAAGTATTTAGGCCTACTTAAACATTCTTAACATTGGAGATATTAACGTGATTTTAACGTTATATAAACGGGTTCCATTGTCACAATCTTCAAATCAAAACATGTTTGACGTATGCCGTGGTATTGCAGTTTATTTATTACCCACACGTCGAGTATCCGGTTAGAATGATTGATAACAACAATTTGAAGTTATTTACATACAATCTTTCCTAAATCTCTAAAGACTTATGTTGAACAGTATTACATGTATAAACGACGAATATTTGTGACGGTTGGTGCTGTTTGATGCATATAGATCTAGATATACTTCATAAAATCCAAGCCAAGAGAGACTGGTATATTTTGTTGAGGGGAGGGGATGGGGCTTAAGTACCGGACACCCCCTCCCTCATTCTTACGCTGTAGCAGGGAAAGAAAAAAATTGAAATCAAATTATATTTTCACATCCAGGCCTATATCTAGTCGCAATATCTGTGAATTATGTAAGTGGGCTTTGTATATTATACTCACAAATGATTTAAATCATGTACATTTAGTCTGATCGGGTTTAATTCAAAACATTACTAAATTAGGTTGCATTTTCATTTATTTTTTTGCTTTGAAATCTAACTCATAGTTGCAATATATAATATGAAATTAACATAATATTTTTCTTCTTTTACAGTCAAGACGCTGCAATCCGCAATCGCATTAGCAATATAAAAAGTGCCAAAGACCAGATGGAAGTATATTCATCAGAATACCAATCTGTGAGTTGACAATTTACTTTTTTTTTTCTCCTTCAAAAAATATATTAATAGTGACTAGTTTATGATCAAGGAAAAGACAGAAGCACGGAGAGAGAGAGAGAGAGAGAGAGAGAGAGAGAGAGAGAAAGAGAGGGGCAGAGATACACACAGGGGGTAGGGAGAGGGGGACAGAAACAGACAGACAGATAGGGAGGGCGGAGGGGAGAGATAGAGAGAGATAAAGACTATAAGAGATAGAGAAAGAAACAAATGGAAAAGAGGAAAGAGGATAGACAAAAATGAAAGACTGGTGACAGAGAGATAGAGAGTGAGAGATGGGGTACAAGATGGAGAAAGAAACAGGGGAGAAGGAGAAAATGAAGGGAAAAAAGAGACAGGAAGAGAAAAGAGATGGAGACTCTGTAAAGAGATGATAACGTACAGAATTGTAGACACGGGCGGGGCAGGGGGGGTGGCAGACATCAGTGGCGTCAAGTGGGTCTGGGGAGGAGGGGGTACGGTAAATATCTTGTGGATAACATTATTACAAAAACAAGTCCATAGGATAGAGAGAGAGAGGATGTGAGAAGGGATCGTATCATCATGTTATCCTCGTTTAAAACACTTCTTTTCTATCATGACTTTTTTTCTCTCTCTTTTTTTCGAACAACAGAAGTATAGAGAGTGGCCTTTGACGCGCCCACGTGAGGCGATCAGACCTAAGGTCGCTAAGGGTGTTTCGGGCGGGACCAGTCCGGCAGATATGGTATCATGCACCCATCGTGTTTTTGTACACCACGAGGTAGGCGATTCAAAGCCCTTCTTTTATCCATGTCACTTGAATCAAATATGCACTTAAATCGAAAAATGTTCTATTTAAATCTATTCTAAAAAAGATCCCATGCCCTCAGACTGAATGAAACTAGAAATCTGTGTGATTCCCGATTTTGTTGCTTTAGTTTATTCGCTGCTTGTTTTTTTTGTTTGTGTAAATGAATAAAACACTGAATTTTCAATCTGGTGGAAAAAAAAATCAAGTTTTGATTAATTCAAGCAAGGAAAATCCACCTTGCAACCAAAAGGGTGATAAGAAAAAAGATAGATAACATTAAGGACAACCTCAAAACACGATCACAAAGACTTCAAGAAATCAATCGAGGGCGATTTAACAATATTAACAATATGGAATACTTTGCCAAATAACATAACATCTATTATGAATTACACTGGATTTAAAAGAAATGTAAAGTAGCATCTCATCACATGTGATTTTGTGTAGAAATGTTCGACTATATATATATGTGTGTATTAGAAGGGCGTGTATGGTTTCTTGTTTGGTTCTGTAGTTATACGAGTTTTCTTTGGGGCAAAATAAGTTTATGTAAATTTAAATCTTTGTTAAGTTCATCAAATTTTGTTAAATTACTTTTTGGGGGGAGATATTTCTACAAACTCATTTATTTGGGTTCTTATAACTTCCCTTTTTCCATGATTGTTTAATATTTTAATGTACTTATGTATATTCTAGTGAAAGATTTTGCATTTTATTTAAAGTTTACCATTTGCAAATGTATGTGTGCCTGTAATGTGATTTTTATGGAAATGAATAAACTAAATTGAAGTGACTTTGTGCGTAACCGGTTGAAAGGTGCCAACATCACAACGCCATATTATATAATCCGAATATGATTTCTATATCTGCAATATTAAGGGGAATTTAAATTGCCCTCAGTTGATTTCTTGAAAATCGTTGCATTCTGCTCATATATTTTCATAAGTGAAATATAAGTGCTAAAGATTTGGTGTTATTTACCCAGGGTAGCCATCACATCAGTATCAATACTGCTCTTCCTGGGGGCGCGCTGCAATATACTCTCTGAGAAATATTATTTTGTATCTTTGTTGTTTTTAAAAGCTCAAAGGGTCTCCCAGGAGCTACAAACCCAAACATGAGTTCACTGCCCCTGATGTTAAGATGGAGACTAACACGACATACAATGTTGAGTATCACGAGAAGAAAGCAAAGCCACGCCCGTCACCCTATAAACCGGGAGAAATGGTAAGAAGGAAAAAAGTTATATATTTAAAAAGTTACACACATTTTATTAGGAGGTGGCATAACCACAACCAGCACCCTTTAAACCAGGAGGAAAAGGTTAGACAAAAGGCGTTAAACTTCGTGATAATAAAACATTGACACGACAAATAATATTAAGTTCCGTAATGTGGCAAACCCTAGCCCAAAATCCTTTAAACCAGGGAGAAGGTAAGAAGAAAAATATATAATTTTGTGATAATTTTTTTTAGAAGACATACAATATTGATTTTCATGATTGGTGGAAAAACCACGTCCAACATCATTCCTTCAAACCCAGAGAAAAAGGTAAGACAAAAGGCTATAGCTTTGTGATGAAAACATTGACACGACACAATTAATGACGTAAAGTATCATGAGAAGGTGACAAAATACCTTTTAAACGAAGAGAGAAGATAGATAATAAAGATTAAAATTATATTAGTATTTTTTAAGGCATTTCACGATGAGCAGCCTTTGTAAGAACAAAAACGGGTCTTTTTATTGATTAAATATTTCTTTTAATTTAAAATCTAACAATGGAATTTGTGAGTGTCATTAGTATAACTGATTTATAAAGCCATTATGTGGAATTACTTAGAGATTTTGTATTATGTTATAATTTAGGGTTTAAAGACTCTTTATAACTCATGTATGATGTTGCATCACTATTTTTTTTATATTTGTGAACATAAGTTTATAAATACAATAGTTGCTGTTGTTGTTATCTGCATTGAAGAAGCTTTTTCCTCCCAGGCCCAGTGAAAGAGTATGTAACAAAATGGATATGTAATTTGTTGGTGTTTTTCTAGGTCATGGATAACAAGCCTTTTAATACGAAGACGGTCTACCAAGTCCACTTTAAGGAGTTTACTCGGGAAGAGCTGGATGCATGCAATGTGGAGGTGAAGCCCCATCACGATAATCTAGGCAAAGAGGAGAAGGAGGCTTTCAATGGACAGAGCACTGCTCAGGTATCAAGATGATGATAGTGATGAAAGTGGTGGTGGTGGTTGTGGTGTTAATTGTTGGGGTTAAGTTGATAGAATATGATTATAATGTATGATGGTAAATATGGTTACAATTTGAAGGATATTCTTGTTATCCTAACAACAATGTGATGAAAGAAAATGGTTCAACCTGCCATTGCAGAGATTTCATTGTTTTATTTCATTTTCTTGTTCATCTAATTATCGTAAAAGGAAAATGGAAACAATAATGTGGTGTCAAGTGTGAGTTGTGAAATTTGTATTTAAAAACAAATGGGCGTAGTGATACTGATGTGGTTTTAAGAATATATAACCCAATTATAACAAATTTATCGATGATAATTCATTTCATTGGTGCTGTTTTTCAGGATTCCTTCCGTCCCCCCGGTAAGGTCCTTCCTGCCACCTTGCTTAAACCGACCGAAAAATCCCACATCGACCCCACCCAGCCCTTCCAGACCGAAACCACTCACCGTGCCGAGTTCACCGCCAAGACCATCCCGCAACGCCAAACTCCTATACCGCCAAACAAGTGCATCGAGCCTAAGCGAGAGAAATCTCAATTCCTGACAGTGTTCACGAGAGACTTTGTAAACCACAAGACGCTCGCCCCCGTAGAGAGCTACAAGCCCAAACGTCCCTACAGAAGAAATCGTAAGTTGGAAATTGCATTTGAATTACCGACTACTGAACTGGGGTATTTTGAGCATCTCCTTGCCAGTAAGGGTTAAGCAAATAACAAATTGTGTAAAGCAACCGCTAAAATTACTTCCAACTTTTGAGGCTCCTAGATTTTGCAATTTAAAGTCAAACCTATAGATATATAATCGAGTGCTTTCCTCACAACAATCATCTTGAGCGCTTCATGTCAATTAGTTTTTACCTTCCTCTTCTTCTTCTTTTCTTTTTCCTTTTTCCCTTCTCCCATTCCTCTTTTTTCCATCTTTTATCTTGTTCTCCTCCGTGATCCTCATCTTCAACCTCTCCTTTTGTATTCTTTCCTAAGCCATGATAATGTTCTTACAACAGTACTCTTCAGTGAGATACGTGAAATAAAGAGATCTCATCTTCGTTGTAATATCTTTCCTCTAGTTGACCACACCTACTTTTGTTTCCCCCAATCACAGCATCCAAATTTGATGGAAGGACAACCAATCGCATGTCGTACCAACCAATCCCGTTCCTTTCCATCCAGGCTCGCCCAGCCTGGGCTAATCGTGATAAGGCGGTCGTAGTTTCCAAGGCTCAACGAGCAAAGCTAGATCTCAAGACTAGTTATCAGGTAGACCATTTTAAAGATGATAGACAGCGGAGAGAGAGAGAGAGTAAATAGAGAGTAAATAGAGAGAGAGAGAGAGAGAGAGAGAGAGAGAGAGAGAGAGAGAGGGAGAGAGAGAGAGAGAGAGAAAGAGAGAGAGAAATGGAGGGGGGTGGAGGGGAGGAGGGGTAGAGAAGGAGAGAGACTAGACAGACTGGGAAAGAGAGAGAGAGAACTAGATAGGTGCACGAAGATAAAAGCAGAGATAAAGAGGTATGGACAGAGAGAGAGAGAGAGAGAGAGAGAGAGAGAGCAAGAGGGAGGAGAGAGAGAGAGAGAGAGTGAGAGAGAGAGAGAGAGAGAGAGAGAGAGCATGAGGGAGGAGAGAGAGAGACACACACACACAGGAGGTTGAAGAGAAAATGTACAATAATAAAGATAAAACAATGTTGAATACTGAATGGGGAAATGGTAAGGAGAAGGTGAAGAGCTAGAAGAGAGGAACATGAAATGAGACATGACAAAATAACTAAAAAGGCTCAAGAGTTACACTGTGTTTGTTGATTATTATATTATAAACAATGTTTTCTTTTATATCTTATTTTTAAGGACATCTTTGACTTTGCCCAATAACACTAATACAATCTGGGCCCGTCGCATAAAACTTACCATTGATGATATCTTTGCCATCAATGGCAACTACCATGGTAACAGGGCTCAACAGCCAATCAAAATCAAGGTTTCCTTGGTAGTTATAATTGATGGCAAAGGGGCCCTGTTATTGATTTGAATGCTTAAAAAGCATGAAGAGACAGACACGGTCATTAATTTTGTTTTGTTTTGTCTTCAATCTAGGACGCATACGGGGACCCAAACCGTATCATTCCAATGGATAAATGCCGAGGAGTCCCCTACAAGCTCCCCTGTAACCTGGGACGACCGAGTGCTGGAGCACCGATGGAAGTCACGACTTCCTACAAAGTGAGCTATGTACCATGGGAAAAGGCAAAGAGGACTGAGACCTACAAAGTAAGGGCAACCGTCATTGGGAATTTACATGTAAAATGGCGTTACCAAATAATGTTACAACATAGTAAGTGGGGGTGTTTCACAAAACTTGTCATCAGTAACAAATGACAGTTTTTATTATAAGCTACAGAAATCCTTGCTTGGTTATCAGCAGATTTGTCACTGATTTTTGTCATTTGTCATTGAAAAAGGCTTTGTGAAACGGGTCCCAGGGCCCTGTCTTCAAAGAGCTGCAATTGATCTGGATTGAAAACCAGTCACCCTATCATCTACAAGCTTACAAAATTCAGTCCCTTTTGTTTAGATCTAAGATTGATTACGAAGTTGCAATCAATTTTGATGAAAGAGTTTGTGAAACAGGGCCCAGAACAAGAAGCAACATTGAATATTCTGTCAAATGTCAAATGTAATGGAATAAGAAAAAAAATACAACAAAATTAATAGATAAAAGAAGGGGAAATAACACATTTATAATGACCTCATACACTTTTTTTCGTAAAACTGTTGATTTAGTTATAAACTAACCACATGCTTGACTTTGTTGCTATTTGACAATAAGAACTTGCAATGTTTTATTACAATAGGCATAGAAATAGAGCCGATTGTGACAGAAGCAAAATTTAACTTTTTTTTCTTTCATTGCAACCTTTTAATTGCAGTTGGAGCGGCCATATACGATACCCGTAGCCCCCTTCTATGGGCAATCTACCACTGGCACCCACTACCTGGGCATCCCAGCGCCCCCGTCCAAATCGTTCAAGCCTTCCACCCGGCCCCGTTCCGGTCCGGGTAAGATGAGCAACGTGACCACTTACAGGGCCACCTTCGGGCGGCGTGCAGCCAGCTGCCCCCCGCCGCACGATGCGGAGCGGTCAGCCTCCACATTGCAGGCTTCCAGGACGGAGAGAACCATCAAGACCCCAACTGTGCCCCCAAATACAGCTGCCAACAATTCCCCTAAATCGTTCTCATCTAATGCCATCTAATTGCAAATTTACAGATGATTAACTAAGCCAAATTGTGTCTGACTAAATAGAAATTGAATGTGAAAGAATCAAATTAAATTAATATCAAAGTTATATCAAAGAGAGCTTAACAATATGATGGGTTATTTTACCAATCATGTCTGTATGAAATGAGACTTAATTTGGAAAAAGAATTTATATTCATCAAAGTAATATCGTTGTTTGTCAATCAAAGACGAAGATTGAGATAATTCATTGATACAAGCTTTTATAAAAAAAATCAAGTTTTAAAGAACATTGAAAAGGAAAGTCATTGATATCGATTATAGGAGTTTCAAGCTGACTGACTGCACTAATAGCAATATTCATTTTTATGGTGCTACTTGTGAATATTACAATGAAAATATTTTTTTAACACAAGATCATGATATAAGATTGATTTTTATACCACTACTAACAAACTGAATGAATTATGTATCAAAATATCACTTATATGTATTGCTATTGTTCAAATGAAATGCTAGAATATACTAGAATAAAACCCAAAAGTACAGCACTCTGTGGAAAATCAATTTTATTCCTTCCAAAAAAAACGTAGCGAAATAGTACAATATCAACAGAAAGTGAAGTTCAATGCGATCTAGTGAATCAATGGACTAGCGAAGAAGCCAGTAAAGAAAACGACTGAGAATATTTTAAACATAATTTTACTCAAATTTCAGAAAATATCTTGATGCTTGTCAATGTATGGAACAATGACAGTGACAATAAAATCTAGTAAAAGACAACTTGAGTCCAATGCATTAGTGATATCAGCAGGGTGAGAGTGACTAAATAGTGGTACATAAAATAAAAACAAGTAATTCTCAATTTAATTTTGTTAGTTTAGTTCAACAAAATACATGATAAAGAGAAACAAACATAGATGACTGGCACAATGATAGTCGTTCAAATAGCTACATGTATACTTTCATCCCATATCTAAACATACAAGTCATATATTTTATCGAGATTTAGTTGGTGGAGATGAGTAGGTTGAGCCAAAGGAAAAATTAATAAATCCCTTCTTTAATATTGTAATACACAGACATGGTTAAATGTTCAAGATAAACCTATGTATGAATGCTGATTACAGAAGGAAACGTGAAACACTTATTGGGATAATAACATGGTATGTGAATTAGCTTAAAAGGTTGATCAAACCACAACAAAAATATATTTGACTGTGTAGTATCTCATAAATATATTTCTGAAAACTTAATTCTAACAAAACATAGCATTTAGTTTTCCCCAAAGTGCTGAGTTAGACATAATAACGATGCTTGAGCATTTATGAGTTAACTAGAATCAATGTAATAAACATAATTCACGGAATCACATTTCACTCACCGGAAAAAAATTGTATGCCTTTTCAGAAACATACAATCGATTAATATCATTACATAAGCGATTTCTTAAAAAAGATGAATCCCTAAATTCTCCTCATAATCATGATAAGTGGAAATAATAAAAAGCAAAAATAATGAACAGTTATGTAAGCATAATTTATCTACAATTAGAATCATTCATTGTGAATAATTTGATGCATTACTACAGAATGTGGTATGGTGTAATGGTTCAGGGAGAGCTGTAATCACATATAACAATTCTGCACTTACATTGATTATCATAACAAAGAGGGAAAAAATGAATTCATAAAAAGTATTTTAAAAACATCATAAATAGATAGAGTTAGTGGGGATCGAAACAGACATACATGATGAAAAGTAATATCTTGGTCTTAGAAACTGAGAGAAGAAACCCCTTGATTAAACATTACTTATCAAAGCTGATTTAGCTCATTGTGATCACATTTATGTATAGTTCAAAAAGATAATGTTCCAGCTGCAAAAATACTCTTTTACTTTCCTTTTTAAAATGGATTCATGAGCAATGTCACGGTTTTACGAGTACGACCTTTCAAGGTGAAACTGAATAGTCCATTTACAACTGAAATCCTATTCAACACTACCCAAAACATTGTTGATTTAGTTCAAAGTTCCATGGAGATATGCAAACTCTGAACTTTGACCTTTGATGATGTGTTAGCAGTCTGAAGGCAGAGCCACCTGATGCATGATCTTTCTCAACAACTTTATATCGGCATAACGGGACAAAGAGAATAGCAATCTATATTACAAGACAGGTCGATCCACATTATCTGCAAGTACAGTCAAACCTGTCTATAGCAACCGCCCAAGGGAAACACAACAAGTGGTCTTTATAGACAGGTTCCTTTAGTACATGTTTCAATGAGAAACGGTTTTCAAGGGAAACAAAAATGTGGTCTTTGTAGACAGGTGGTCACTAGAGCAGGTTTGACTGTACTTGTATAGAGAGACCATCTGTCTACACAGGAACCCTTGTCCATTCCCACGGTCTTTCTACACAGGTTTGAAGAAGAACAAAAACGTCATCAATCCTTGGATCCTAAAAAACATTGGTGCAACTGCCCCGGGATGCGCCTTTCATGATGGCCCTATTCAGGCGATTTAGTCCAGTCCTATTTGGACAGTCTTTCTTCCAAGGTCCACATGGCAACACTATCATACTTGGATCCCATACATGACTGCTGTGCTAACAGGATGGGGGACTCATATCATAATGGACCTATACTTGTGGTCTAGTCCAGTCCAATCCTCATCGGGCAATGCCATTCATAGTCTCATACTTGTTTCCAATTAATGCCAGCAAGGCAGAGAGAGGGCGCGGGCTCATTTCACAATGGACCTTAACAGACGATATAGTCTAGTACCCATAGGGCAGTCTTTCGAAGTAGCTTTGAACAAGTGCAATACTGTCATTCTTTGACCCAACTATCAACAATTGGGCCCGACAAGCCCTTGAGGGTAATCACTTCATAATGGATCTCCTGGATGGTTCGGAGGCCGTCGGGGGCGGGGGAGGTCCACTCCGGGCGGCCTGGTCTATGTACTCTATCAGCATGTCCTTCCTCTCGTTAGGTACGCAGTCTAGGATCAGGTAACGCTTGTCCTTCTGAAGATGCTTCTCAATGTCGTCCAGCTGCTGCTTGGACTCCTCGATCATCTTTTTAGACCTGGACGAAAAAGGGTCAGGAAATAACATGTTACAGCACAATCACTATCATTTTCAAAACCATTCAATAATCCATCAAATATTGTACATCATTCTTCAATCAATGGGAAAAACAACAAGTTCACTTTAAAGATACTATGTCCCTTTTGCAGCCAGCATCAAATTCTGTAGAACTTTGCAGGAATTATGAATATGTCATGTATGTCCTATCTGTGAAATTTAAATATTAGCAGTGTCCTAATATTCAAATTATGTAAGGAAACCAGTTTACTTGCTAGACCTCACTATCAGACACTATTGAGTGACTTCCTGGCTTTTTTGCTTCTTTGGTAATAACATACACAAAATGAGCTGTAAAGGGTACATGAGCATTCGTCTACATCAGTAACCCACTTCTTGTAATGGCCAAAACTGATTGAATCTTTGCGCAGTATAAAACGTATGACCATTTGGTACAATGGTCTGAAAAGCAGAATAGTACTTACTGGCTCTATAGCTCTGAAGTCGATTCGACAACTAATAGTCGTTATTTTCTGACTTCCAAGACATTTTCAAGCCCCCCTTTTTTTTAGGGAAGTTCTAAATTAGTATTATCTTTCAAATGCCATTTGAATTCAACCTTTTCATTTTTTTGGCCTGCAAATGGGACATAGTACCTTTAATATGGCTTATGTTGAGGCGTGTATTTGAATGATGTATATAAATATTGTTTTGATGTTGGCTGTTTAAAATGTAAATGTGATTTTGTATACAAATATTGTTTTGATATTGGTTGTTAAAAATGTAAATGTGATTTTTTTCTTCTCTCTGTTACAAAACAGAGTTGATAAGAAGAAATTATATATCATATTTAGGGTTAGGGTTCAATACATTGTTTGGGCCAGGGATGAGGAAAGAATTCACTCTGTGTAGCACACTGACCATGGTGAAATTCTTTCTGGAGCATGTGTCATCATAATAGAATGATCAAATAAATCTGAAAATCTGACAATGATAACAGGAAAATGTACATGCTACCTTTGGTAGAGGACAAGAAATAGAAGAAGGGGAAGGAAAACAAGGGGGAAAAAAGAAAAAAAAGAAAGAAACAAAATTATTATATATATATTTTTTTAATTTAATTTTCCTCATGACTTGACTTACTTGTAAGTGATAAACTTGGTCTCCTTGAGTAGCTTCTTGAATGCTAGACGGCTATCATAGTACTTCTCTTTGATGTAATCATCAAACTCATGCTCGCGTTTCTGCAGTAGAAAACAACCGAGTCAATGATTGCCTGAATAAATATATAGCCTCGGCTACAAGATATTATCATACCTGCTAAACTTTCATAGCAAAAATTAGGAATATCAAGACAAAATTAGGAGTATTTTGTATATTTCAGAAAAAGAGAGGAATCTAGGGGTTCAAGACAATAGCTTGAAGGCCAAAAAATAGAAGTCATTCTTCTAAAATAGAAATGGTTAGCAGCTTTGTATTTGATATGGGTTTAGAAGGTTACAATAGAATAGTAGGTTCTGAATTCATACAAAAGCAATCAATGATAATGTAGTGGGCTTTAAGAGAACGAGCACTCTTGTGGTTTCAAGTTGATAATGAATTTTGGCTCTTGTTTAAGAAGTAATCTTAAAACCAGTCTAAACTAGATTGGCCAGGAGGGATAAGACCTGCCTGCATGGTCACTGACTGGTGGTTATCTCATCAAATCAGCTCTCACTTAACATAAGAATATCAAAAAGGGGATCATGGGGGACCAACAGGTACTGCTTAGGCATTGTTTGCTATATAGAGGGCGCAAGTAGCTACAAGTAGTGCAGTCCTGCTTTAAAGGTATGTAAGTAGTCTAAATGTAAACATTATTATATTGAGGAGCCATATAACATGTTGGCTTGTGAGATATATTTGAGTCACATTCTTCATGTATC